AAAAGTAAAACAAATATTTACCTTCAATAGGACGAAAATGTTCATCATGAACAAGACCTTGAGTACGAATCATTTCACTCTACAATACACAATAAATGAAGGTCAATAAAAATTCATTTGTTTTTTTCTTTTTACTTACTAATCTAACTCGATTCATATGATCAACCATATCTAATTCTGGAAATGCTTCACAAACTTTTTCGACTGTTGTTATACTTTTAAAACCAATCCTATTTATATAAAGAATAAATAAATATTAGAAAATAATAAATCGAATTAAAATTCATACATTCGAGCAATTTCTTCAGCTTGACCTTGTCCAGAAACAAGAACATGTTTATTATGAAAATCAGTTAATGTACGCATTGGTGTTTGAGCAAGAACAACTTGTTCTGGATGAATCTGAATTAAAAACAAATATATATTTAAAAACTCAAATGAATAATACCAAAAAAATAAACTTACAGTTACTCCAAGTATAGAGGATAATTGTTTCGCTTTCTCTGATTCAAGCATACATGTATTTGAAACAAATACAACAGGTACATTAAGTTGTATCAATGTTTGAATTGCTGGTTTAGCAACTGCAATTGGATTTGGACCTTGTGTAATAACACCATCGACGTCAAAGAAGCATGCAAAGTTTGACTATCAAAAGAAATATGAATTAATAAAAATAAATATATTCAAACAATTCTCTTACTGCCTTCATCATTGATATTGCTCGTATCAATAAAGACTTACTAGTTTTGTTTGAAGAAACAACTTTAGTAAAAAAAATTTTCTGAGTAAAACTAGCTAGATCGACGGTATTTATATACTGTGGTACCAATGACAGAAAAGAGGCACGAACAGACCAGTCTCTGATATCATGTATTACCTATGTGAGTTCACTGTTTAGTATTGTTCATGCGACCATTTTTTTATTGTCTATGAGTCAGATGACATACATATTCTAGCTGAGAACATATATTCACTGAATGATATTATTCTGTTATTGGCACATTCTTCTTTTCTCGTTCTTTCTAGACTGTCGTGATGGTACGAGTGACAGAACAGAGATAAAGAACGAAGTACATAGTTTTTCTCGTTCTATTCCCTTGGAAGATGAAGTCAAGGACAAAATAAGTACGTTGCTCTCTTTTTCCACAAGGACTGTGCGATCATTCAAGGAAAAAGAATTATTACGATGTTTGAAAGAAGAAAAATTTCAAAACTACAATCATTTCATCATTCAGTATTCTCTTAATTAGTCAACATACTACTTAAAAAATTTATGCAAAAATAATTTTTTACTATCGATTTTAGTACGTTATTGACAAAGGATAATGCAAAGTACATGGTCTAAACAACTGATGATCTAAAATAATAATTATATTTTTTTAAAAGCAAATCATTAAAGTTCAAAACTAAATGCTTCTATCTTCATTGGAGTAAACTCGTTCTTTCAGTTTTATTATTGATTAATGATCCCAAATCAATATACTTCAAGTAAATTAATTTTAGTTCATTTAGGAGTAATATTTCATACATGTAAAATCTGAAACTTGATTTCTATTAGTGAAATTTTTTTCAACTATCCAGTTATTGAATAATTGAATAGTTGACGAAGTGCCGAGAGTTGAAAAATAATAAATGCACTCTTTAAAGAATTAAAAACAATACCATACCTCAGAAGTTACTGTAGGATCACCATAGCCAGGTGTCGAATCTGAATTAATTTTACAATGATAAATATCTTTATATGCTATTTAGAAATCAAATATAGGCACCGATAATTTTTAGTTGTGTTCAAGTAAATTATATGAAATAAATCAATTTAACTTACTAAAAATTACTGCCTGGTATATTCATTCTACAAGTTTCCGGTTCATTGGCTCACCATTTTAATTCTCGATATTTTTATTTAAATAAAAAAAAATTTTAATACTACTTAGTTCTAATAGTTAAATTACTAATGCAGAGCCAATTGTAGATGAAAGATATTGAAATTCAAATCCAGCTTGAAGATATTAACTCCTTCTGGACGAGATGATTTTTCAACAGTGTAAGGAAGAAAATTTCCAAAATTCAATCGATTCAATCTTTCGTTCAAGCTATATAAGACATACAAAAAATAACTATGCGGTATATATAGACATACATCGTTACAATGAGTTATAATCTAACTGATACATAGATATTTAAAATTTTCAATGCATATTGGTACTGTCGAAATCAATCTCATTATCCAACGAAACTAAATAATAGAGCTCCATGATCATTCAAACTACAGATCTATGTTATCAATATTTCAAAAAATCAATTATTTTATTGAATCTATTTTTTTTACTTCAATTAAATCATTACTAATACTGTAATACAAACTGAATTAAAGATACTACTACTTAGTTTAAAATACAACCAAACATTATTTTATCGTAAGCTATATTCTTTATTTTTGATCAGAAAATAAATTACGAGATAATCATAATGATGAAATACTGTACAACAAGACATTTCTCAGATGTTAACATCTGTTTTGATCCATCGTACATTAGAAAAACTATGTCAAAAATTGATGTTAGTCTCTTTCAATCCGGTTTTATTTTTATTAAAGTACTAAATGAATATAAACTGTTTACGCAAGTTAGAAAATCAAATGAAGTTGTGCAGAATATTTTCCACAGACCGAATAATTGTATGACGTCATAAAACATTCGTAATGTATAAATTCAAAAAACTATAGTATCTTATTTTGTGAAACATCATCTGCAAGAAATATTCAAGTATATAAGATGGAAATTTGTACGCACTCCCATTTTGCGTCCCGGACCCAGTCAATCAAGAGTTTTCGACTTGGATTTGAACTTAGAGACACAGGTGTACATTTGACTGTAGTTTATAATGATCGGTATCCCCAGGATTTTTATATGAGAAACTGTTAGCAACAACGGTTTGTTTCACTAAGTATGCACCACAACAAAGTTCAAAATAATTTCCTGAATGTACTGCACATCTAGCCCAGATTAAAAACACATGAAAAAAATAATCGAGGAGGGTCGATTTTTTTCGAATAAAATCTATTACATTTGACTTTTATGCTCAAAAATCAAAGCAATCGTTTAAAAATCTAATTGATTTAGAACCATTTCCGATGAAATATATTAAAATTTATCTTTTGATTATGAATCAAAAGAATTGATTAAAGTTATTATCAATGTTTATCAGATCTCTAGTTGAAACAAGGATTAAAATCAACCAAACTTTTAAAAATAGATTTTTATTTTGATGACCACAAAATACGAACTGCTTTCCTGGACACATGAGAAGAATAATGCCATGCTAGTCTTAGACATGCATATTATGCATTACACTGTAAAGTAGAAAATACATTATAGAAAAAGCTCGGTCAAATTCTAAAAAAGTCTATATGAATTCAGGCTGGATTTTTCATTTTCTTGAAAATCACTACCGATTTTCAATCTACCGCTTTTTACTGGAGAATAAATTTGAATTCATATTTTTACGAAAATCAAGCATTTCATAAAAACTAGAAAATCAACTAAGGAATCATAAAAGTTTGAAAATAACTTGAAAATATTCAACGTCATTTTGGCTTTTCTAGAATTTCGAAAAAAATTACAGTGTAAGATTCGACATTATTTGATATTTATTAAACGAACAAGAAGAAAAGAGAAATTAGACGACAATCTCTTAATGAATTTCAATCAACAAAAATTGATTAAAATTAGATTATTTCTATTTTTTAACATTGATAAATCACAAACATGTTCTATTTTCCTGTACGCATACTCTGTAGATACGATGTACTTTTTATTGTTCACTATTTGATGATTAAATAGTTTTCTTGTTCGTTTTTTTCTATCTTTCTCTAAAGAAACTACAAAATTATTACCACATATAAGTTTTATTTGAATCTCTATCCGATCAGTAACAATTTGCAGATACGAACGCAGTCAAAACTTAATTTTCAGACCTGATGCCGATGAACTCTACCCACGTTCACAGTATTCTTGAAGCGGCTCAACAAACGGACTAAATCATTTCAAAGAAAACTCGCATTGACTGTTCACCGCCCTTACATAATTGTGAGGCAGTAATATTTTTCGATCTTACGTAACTATAGGAAAAAGCCAAGTGAAGTCGTGATATAGTACACATTCTTCAATCTTTGACTCACTCTTTCTTTCCCTTCTTTAAGCTATTCGATTAATGAGTAATAGAACAAGTAAACAACAGGTTCTATTTTTATGAGAATAAATGGGGACTCTTTACAATATATGATCATGAGTCATTTAATATAAATGGATAAATGCGCACAGGCCAAACTTAGTGATGTATATATAAACAACATAATAACTTTATCTTTTGCATAGAATAAACGTCAATACATTATTGTTTTATTATTTTCGTCGGCACACAATTCTTTCGAAAATCTTTTGTGATCATCTGTATTCAGCGAATTTATCTATCCTTAAGCAGTATAATTAAGCTTGTGTAATATTATTTTCGTATTATAGTAATTGTGCTTCGGCCGACAAAAATGTTCCCAAGTTCTGCATTAAATAAATACTAGAAATTACCAATATAGAGCCACTTTTCTCCAATGTGCCTTTAGCCAGAATTGATAATACATGTCGTGACTGTCTGGTAGAAAAAAGACGTTCAGCATTGTATACTTTCAGCATTCAGGAAGAGTTCATCTTGCTGAAAATCAGACACGATGTTGTACAGGAAAGTTTTATAAAAACGAGTTCTCATCGACTAAATTTTTGGCAAAGAACATGCTTAGGATATGGTCTTCAGAATGAGGGCGTGGGTGCGTATGTAAGTTTTGAATAGAAGACTCACACAAACATGCACGCACACTTACACTAACTTACACACCCATATCACTCCCTCACAAAAAAATATATTCGAGATAGGCACATATTTTATATTTTAATTTTCTTCAATATTAATATCTAGATATTTCCATATTTATTAAATACATGATCATGCTTGTTATATTGTCTATTTTCATTGCCGTTTTATTACTGTTCCACTTTAAATTAAAATATTTTACTCTTTATGGCCCATTATCTGGTTTATCGCCTCAATTTCTTTTCGGAAATTTACTTCAAACTGGTGTAATTCATGGTACATCACTTCCCCAAGTATATCTATCGCTCAGGCAGCGTTTTGGTGATATTTTTCAATTCTGGCTAGGTCCATGGCGTGTTGTCGTTGTAAGTGGACTCAATGATGTTCAACACATTTTTAACAACCGAAATGTCTATGAACAAGGTGATATATATATTCAACAATCGTCTGTCTTGAATCCTAATGGACTCATCGGCCTGAAAGGTTAATTTTTATCTTTTATTTTAGTTGAAAATTCCTCTACATTTATATCTGTAGATAACAAATTCAAACGACATGCTTCAATTATTGCACCCGTTTTGCGTCATAGTAAGGTTACTGACCACTTAGAAACAATTCTTGATTGTACAGATAAATTATTAAATATTTGGCGCAATAGTCCTAGTGAATACGTGCATGTCAACATTGTTCAACAAACTCAAGATCTTCTTTTAGCCATTTTTGGATTGATCGGTTTTAATTATGATTTAGAGACACTTGATAGTGATATTAGTGCACAGAAAAATGAATTTGTTCAAGCATTTCGTGAATTGTTAAAACCATTTGACATTGCTTTGTATTTACCAAGTACTCTCTTAGCTATTTATTCGAAGATTCATCCTCGAATTCGACGATTAAAAGCAACTCTTCACCGAAATCTTTTTGAAATAATGAAGAACGAATTAAATGAGAGTTCAGAATCAATATCGCGACGAAAGAGAACATGCTTGGTTGCTTCACTTGTTGCATCATTGCAAACAGACGAAGAATTAGAAGCCACTAAAACTGAAAAAGAGAAAAAAGGTATAAAATATTAAAACCTTTCGAAAGAGGTTACAATTCTAACTAATAAAAACGGATAGATTTTCCGTGTTTCAGCTCCTTTAAATATTATGTTTAGAATATACATGGAAATGCTCGTTTAAAGAATTGTACCAGGAAGAAAATATTTAATGTGTCAAAAGAATAGATTCCCGATTTGCGATGATCGTTTTGAGAGAGAGAAAACCATATCTCTCCAATAAAACGGTTCTTATAGTTCGAAGGTGTCTTCTTTTGAGCACATTTCTTTCTGAACTGAATTGACGTTTTTCAGCAATTTTTTCTTGATCGAAAAAAAGTAAGATTTTAAAACGGAACATAGATGAATTTTAATAAACATCAGAGGGATTTGGAAGATGAGTTTTCTCTTACTCAGTCCAACCTATGTACAGGTGACAGAGTAGGCACAAGCTGAAAAATTTCAATTTACAAAATATTAGTTTCTTGGAGGTAAAGATGTATTTTAAGAACAAGAATACTCTATCTTCAGGATACGAGAGGCATCCGAATTGTATAGGTAAGTGGGATGCTGTGTGAAGGCACATTTATAATCTTATGAAGAAAGTATTCTTTGGATAGCATGCTTGTGATAATTCGTATGCAGATTATTTTTCTGGGTATGGATGAGATGTGTTTCGATGTCTTACAATTCTATACTTCTGCGTTTCCATCGTATATTTCCCTCGTACACTGCATTGTGAAACATTCCTGTATTAGAATCTACGTTACAATAATCGCAGCTCATAGCTCAACTAACAAAACACATGAGTATCAGTGAAAGTTAACAGAAGTAAAAAATACAACATATACAACTTAGACTTGAACAAAAACAATTATATTAATAATGTCTTCTAATTTACCTGTAAGAAGACTTATTCTTCTTTTATTAAGGCAAAAGATATAAAGAGGAAAACTCAAACTGATTCCGTACTAAGGATGATACTTTCATCTTGCTTTATAAGTTCAATTCAAAGTGATCTTTTTTACTTAAAGGAAAGCGAGTGCAGAACTTTGCCATTATCTTTCCTTTAGAGTACATATTTTGCAACCATTGAAGTGAAATATTGGCACGACAACATAAGTCTTAGTTCTAGAGACGAAGACCATCTATGAAAGCTCTACCAGTCTTACTTACCCTCATCTCATGCAAGCACACCTACCAAAAAGTCTATAAAAATCCACTGAGACCTCATAAATTTATAAACTAGCTTGAAACTGGTGAAAGGCCACAAAAACACGGTGAGTGTATGGATAAACCCAGAGAAAGACATCCATCGACGTGCCCACACTTGCAAGATAGTTTGAACGAGTTTTATGAATTCTAAGAGTTCCCATGAACTTCTATGAGTTTCAGGGTGTTTTTTTTATACACTGTTACAATTTCAAGAATGTTTTTGACGTCTAAGAGTTCCTAGGGAGTTGAATGTCCCAAATGTGATTTATAGGCTGATACGGATTTCATTAAGATTTTATTGATTCCGAAGAGCCTCAAGCGTATCTTTTAGGAATTTTCGTGAGACTTTATAAACCTTACAAAATTTCAATGGATTTTTTTCAGACTTTCAAGTATTCCAAGTGATATTTTATTCTCTGCAGTTTATTTTGAATTTTTTTTGCAGGAAATAAAGACCATACCCTCGTCTGTGTTATCTCGCCACGAAGACATGTCTGATGAGTGTTTATATTCTCGAACTGAACGTTCGAAACAAGAAAATCTGATTTCAATTTCGAATAGACCACACTGGAATGCATACATGAGGATTCTTAGATCATTGAAATCAGTAAAAACCATACAGGAAAATGAATCTAAAACACTGAAAGTCTATCTCTTGTTATAATTTTGAGGATTGCTGTATTATTATTGTGTATTGACAGGACTCTCACGAATGGAATTATTGCAAGAAATGCTATTCTTTCTTGGTGCCGGTACTGAAACAACGGCTACTGCATTGTCTTGGTTCATTCATTTAGTCAGTAAACATCCACAAGTACAGCAAAAAATAAAAGCAGAATTAATTGAAAACAATGCAAAACAAGATTTATCTTTGAATTGTCTTGATTCGCTTGTCTATTTGGATTGTGTTATCAAGGAAGTACTTCGCTTTTGTCCACCAGTTAGTGCAACATTTCGTACATTAACCGTCGATGATCAATTACCAGGAAGCAATACTCAACTGTTTGCAGGTGATTTAATACTGATACCACTGCACAGTCTTGCGCATGATCCTCGATATTGGTCGATCGATCCACAACTTTTCTATCCAGAAAGATTTTTAAATGAAGATAAGAATCATCATTCGTATGCATTTCTTCCATTCGGTAGTGGTCATCGTCGATGTATTGGTCAAGAATTAGCTCGATTTGAACTTAAAGTTATTATTGCAAGAATGATGCAGCAAGTTACATTTGGTGATGGTGGTCTTCAAGTAAATGCTGGCGAACATTCTACAGCTCTTACTGTTTCTCCTAAACATGTTGGTGTGACTATTGAATTCGCTTGATGACAATCAAAACTCACTTATAATTCAATAAAACTTCTTTTTATTTTTTTTATTGTTTCTAAACCAGAAATCTAAAATAGGAGTAGAACATAGCTGTGAGAGCTTTAAGAGTGTGGGTACGTATATGCATGATAGGTCCATATTAGTTCTTATTCATCTATCGTCACACCGTGCACAGCTAGGGTGTGGGGTTGGGTGTGGGTGTGGGTGTGGGTGTGGGTGTGGATGTGGGTGTGGGTGTGGGTGTGGGTGTGGATGTGGGTGTGGGTGTGGGTGTGGGTGTGAGGTGTGGTGAGTGTGGGTGTGGGTGTCTGTGTCAGAAAAGAAGGCACTGCATCAACACCCAGACTCTCATACCCACGCCAACACCCCCCCCACACACACACACTCCACACCAACACCCACCCCACACTCCCACCCACATCCACCCCCA